CCCAAACCAGTCTGGGATTCTATGATGATGACTGTGGTGAAACACCGCTGCTCTGAGCACACACACAGAAGAACAAAGGCCAAGAGGCACCAGACTCACCTTTCCCTCCCCACTACTGACGAGAACATCAACAGCGTAAACTTCATGGACCTCAAATTCTGCTTTTTCATGGTCCTTCCTGGATGAAAAAAAAACCAAACCCAAAAGTTTGGCGAGTCAAAGGATGGTAAATAGCAAAGACAAAACCTCCTACACAGCCACGGTACCACGGATAAGCCCACACTGGGCTTAGCCAGAGAAGATCTACAAGCACAGAGCAGAGCTACGGTGTCACAGCGACCAGGTCACTGACCAGAGGAACAAAAGCTGGCACAGAAGATGCAGAAGTTGAAGGTGCCAGGCAGCAGAGCTGATCAGTGCCAGGCTGGCAGAGAAAAGCTACAACAAGCCAGTGCTCCTCCTGCCCGTGACAAGTAGCTCCAGCCCCAGTAAGGGGTGGGAGGTCCCTCAGACCTTCAGCACCAGCTCTTTGAACTCATGGTCATATCCTGGGCAGGTCATGAGCCCCACCACGCCTGGTACATCTCCACACCTCAAAACTTACAGGCCAAGTGCTGGATTTAAAGCCACTGAGCTCTAAATATTCAGTGTGAGACCCAAACCCTGAGGGATCCCTGAGGGAGAGGAAGGAGCTGCTGGAACAGAACGGAACGACATCTCCAGCTCATTAGTTCAAAACCATCCTGAGATGCTGCTGACAGCAATCACCATCCAGTGAGCTCCTGGCAGCTTCTGCGAGACAAATGACAGGTCTTGGCAGAGCTCCTGGTGAATTAGCATCCACTGCTCCAACTAGCAACAGTTGGTTATTTTGCTGGCAGCCTCCAGCAGATTCCTTCAAGAAACTGGACAGAAACCAAGAAGACTCGCAGGTGCCAGTGAGGAGCCTCATGTCGGTGACTTCCAGCCTTTCTTTCTCAGAACAAGCCCCAAACATGGAGCCACACTCCATATTCACTCAGAACGGACCAGACACAGGGTTGATAGGTTATAAATTTGCAATATTGGGTTAAACTTGAAGAAAGAGACCATACAGGAGGAAATAATACCAGGATATAATATATTAGGATATCATTTTGCCTATATCCTGGTTAAATTAAAGACATTTGCTAACATCCCCCACTCAATACCACAGTGAGAAACAGGGTGACCGCTCTGGACCTGGTCACACCCCTCCCAAACGCTGCTGGAAGCAGCAGCCCCAGAAGTGATGCTCACTTTTGCTGGTCTGTAGGGTTCTGGATGATTGTTTTCTCTCCATCGATCACATGCTGTTTCAGCTGGTGTGATAGCATCCCTGCCGAGATAAGAGAATCCATTAACACCACTGAGCTACAAACCAGTGACATGATGACTCGTGTTATTAACGTTCCAGGGTCTGGGATTGCAGCCCTCAGCAAAGCAAAACCTCACTGGCATTAGCACTTCCTCAGCTTCAAAACACCATCAAGTGTGTTAGCACAGACACAGAGCTCCCCAAAGTGACTTCTGCAACGCTTCCTCACCAGTAAGAAGGAGCTGCCATCTCCCACGAGAGGCACAGCCAGCCCCCAAGCCCTTCACTGCCACGTCTCCTTAAGACACGTGTCCTACAGCAGTGGGCTGCAGCAGGCTGGATGTGAACCTGCAGGCAGGTGTGACACAACCTCAGGTGTTTTTTAAGATGCCAAAATGTCAAAATTAATGGAAACTCTTGGTCCTTTCTGCAGCACCCTGGTTATACAGCACCCAAATTGTATTTGTTTTAGGGGGTTTGCTTCACTTTTCCTTTCTGTCCTATAGTTCACCTTCAAATCAAAGCCCAGGTAGAAGCACTGGTGGTTGTTCCTGTCCTCAAATCAAAGCCCAAGGAGAAGCACTGGTGGCTGTTCCTGTCCCCAAATTGAAGCCCAGGAAGAAGCACTGGTGGCTGTTCCTGTCCCACTCAAATCAAAGCCCAGAAGGAAGCACTGGTGGCTGTTCTTGTCCTCAAATCAAAGCCCAGGAAGAAGCACTGGTGGCTGTTCCTGTCCTCAAATCAAAGCCCAAGGAGAAGCACTGGTGGCTGTTCCTGTCCCACTCAAATCAAAACCCAGGTAGAAGCACTGGTGGCTGTTCATGTCCCCAAATCAAAGCCCAAGGAGAACCACTGGTGGCCATTCCTGTCCCACTCCCCAAGCCACCAGCCAGCAGGGACAGTGGCACATCTCCCCATTCAGGAAGGACAGGAAGGGAAATCACAACCCCAACCACCAACAGCTCTGTTTGTTTTCATCAACTGGGACCTTATGCTGCTGCCAGTGCCGAGATAATTACGGCACTTGACTGTTTCCCAAACAGTGGCTGTTTCAACTCCCCTGCCAGTGTGAGCAGCCGCCTCCTCACTGCAGCTGATGCCATGGGGGTTGTGGGTTTTTTTTTTTTTCACAGAAAAAGGAGCAAAAGCATTGAGGAGACCCATAAAACCATCCCACACACGGACCAGGGAACTGATGTTCTGAGAGAACGAGCCAGCTTTCTGGTATTTCAAGCCATTTCACTAATAATGAACCAATTTAATTGGTGGCTGAAAGAACCGTTTGACAGTGATGTCACCAACTAGGAGCCGTGTGACAGCATGTGCCAAATGTCAGGCTGAGCTCTCTCATCACCTTTCAGACAAGAAACCAGTGGTCTTGTTTCTACCAGAAGCCATCTCAGCGCCTTCCCACTCACCCCTTATCAAGGAGAACGTGAATCAGTTTAGACTTGGAAGGAAATGACGTACCCTGCACATCTCTGGGTTCCTTTTGTAGCAGCCCTCACGTGACAAACGAGCTCTGTTATGTTCTTGGCTAAAGGGGTTTTCATTACAAATGGTCAAGAGTATAAAAAGCAAAAAGCCAACGTGATTTGCCCAAGGTCAGCAG